TCACCGCAGCGCCCTCTCCTGTATAGACGTTGAGCGGCTGCATGCAACGTTTCATCCATGACATCTCCAGCTCTTGAGTTCCTACCATATCTCAGAGCCCCCTACTCGTCCCGCAGTCGTGGCTGAGTGGTTAAGGCAATAGACTAGAAATCCATTGGGGTCTCCTCGCACAGGTTCGAATCCTGTCGACTGTGCAAACATTTTTTCTTTTTTTAAGAAGACAGATGGGATGGTAATCAATGTGAGCACGGACGCCGGACAAGGCTAGACCCTAAGGGGCTTCGCCCCTTATAAAAATAAACTATATTTTTGGTGACCATGCTTGGCCAAGCTGATCCCGCCAACTGGAAGGATGGGGACGTTTGTGTCTGAACCCGTCGCGTATGGTACATCGCCCACAGTGCACGCCAATGTAACAAAGCGAGGCATCTCTAAAGAGTTTCTCTTTTCTTTGTCCGATGTAGGGAGCGAGTGTTTTCCCAGAGAATAGTTTATGGTGATTGTCGCCTCAAACGGCCGCAGGCTTGCGGCACAACCAATTTTCCCTTGTCTTTTTGCCGCCAAGCATACGGTTCCTTCCCCTCTCGCTTGAATCGTCCGACTCCAAGATGCACTTTTGCGGGGTCTTGACTTTAGGCCCATTTGCCCTCCCTTCCCTTTTTTTTTGCAACCAAATTACCGGCCTTGCCTCCCGTCGTTTACTTATTGTCCCCCATTGCTCTGCTTCCTGGGTCCCATCACATGAAAAAAAGTATCTATTCGCTCGGAATGTCTGCGTCGTTCTGCTTGTTTGTGTGTTTTCTTTAAATTGAAAGACCACCTTTAGCCTGGACCAGAAACACTTGGAATCCGTTAATTTATAGATATGAACGTCGTGGGCTTTCCGGGTGGTCTCTTCTAGTTGGGATGGTGAGATGGAGGAGGGCAAATGTGTCCCATCTGGTTAGAAAGTGGCAGAAAAAAGATCGCAACAGTCGTTTAGAATTTCTTTTGCACCACTGCCGTATTCAGTGGGTTTGACAGAGGAATGTTCCCGCAACATTGCTATCCAAGTTTTTAAAAGAAGCTTAGTGTTTCATGAAAAATTGTGCGCACGCAGTAGAAAATGGTTTGACCAATGAGTGCAATGGAGTGCCATAAGAAGTCATCTACAAAGCTGATTGCAAGGTACAACTTCTATATTTATTGACTCCACATTTGCACAGATTTCTATTGCTCCTGTCACAGTTCGCCTCACCAAAGAAATCCGAAATTAGAAATGACCGATTGTAAACTCGCATCATGATTGGAAATATTCGCGATCTAGATGCGTGCTGTTGTATTCGTGTGTACCTTGAGGTGGTTGTGCTTTTCTTAAAGTTCTTCATGGATCATCAGCAGGTACAGTAAGCTTCCGTTAGTTCGACCTCGGTTAATTCGACTTCTCGTTTAATTTGATCCTTTTCAAAAGTCCCGGAGAGCGCCCATACATTTCTATGGGAGGAAAAGTTTGATAGTTCAAACTCGGGACGACTCCGCATCGGATAATTCGTCCCGAGCGAATGCGCGCGGGCTCACATTGCACGGCACCACGGCAGAAAAACCACCAACGTACGGCAAAACACGGGCCCTTTGCTGCAAAGCCGAACGTGCGCAAATACGCACCTGCTCCTCTACACCGTTGAGATGGACCGTAGCGAATGACACGAGCCAGCGCAACAAATCTGGCGTGGAGTAGCGAGGAGAACATAGCACGTGGTCGGGCGTAGAAACAGCGCGCGCCGGAAAGCGCGAGTTCTTTTTTCCTTTCGTTGTTGTTATTTTTTAGTCGCCGACGGTTTAGTTGTTTGGCTCCAAAGTCGGCTCGTAAGGCTTCCTCAGCACGCGCTCAAAGCGCTTTTCTGTAGCACCCTGTGCGGTCCATCTTGCGCGTGGAAAAACGCAAATTCTCTTTTTTTCTTTTCTTTCTTTGCCGCCGAGGATCTGGCTGTTCGGCGCCAAAGTCGGCTTGTAAAACTTACTTTGTTCGTTTTTTTTGTTATTTTTTGAGGACGCAATTTTTTGAGGACGTGACATATAGTTACGCTGCTCTCCAGAGCATACTTTTGGAGATGCATTTTAGGTGCAGACGGCAGCAGACCATCCGTGACTACTTTTGATAATAAGAAAAAAGTTTAATTTTAATTGTTTTTTCGTCTTTTTTTTTTTTTAATTCAATCATTCGGATGAATTGACCGAATTTCAAGGTCCCGTCAAAGTCGAATTAACGAAAGTTTACTGTATTTGCTAGCTCATTTTGAAAAAACTAAAATCGAATGTAATTTTGCCAAAGAAAAAACTATAAATGCTTTATCATATAGTGGATTTACCCCAATACTGTCTTAAAGTATGATCCTGTTCAGTGAGCTAGATATTCATGGTAAAAATTGAAATAGGAAGAACCAAACATGTTAATATTAATTACTGGAAAAATATTAACTTCTCAAAAAATCAGATTCCCAAACATGAATCTGATTCCAGTGTCTTATGAAAAAGTTACCGTAAAATCCTGTAAGGGCACCCTACCCTGAGAGATTGCCTATCCCATTTTTCTGGCTAAATATCTGTAACATAAAAATTCCGAAGCATTGCCCACCCCCGATTCCCGTTTGACATCAAGCGATGTCCGACAGGAATCACGCGTCAACGGCGCGATCTGCGGTACCGGTGCGTCCGAGAAGCAAGTTCATTGTGGGTTCCCACGTTTTTTTGTCTGCGATCTGCACGCATGATAACGGCTCCAGTAATACGCGAGTTGTTCCTGCGTGTATATTGCAATGTGAAAGGCGAATCTGCTGCGTTCGCGAATTGCAGTATCCGTTCCCGAGTTCATAGGGGATTCCAATATTCTTGTCCGCGATCTGCGCACACAAAAAACAAAAGCGTGAGTTGTTCCTGCGTGTATATTGCATCGTGAAATGCGATTCTGTTGCGTCTGCGATATTTGTTTCTGTGACATGCGAGTTTGTAGCATATTCCCGCGTTTTTGTCCGTGATCTGCACGCGCAATATGGGTTTCCGTGACAGGCAAGATTGTAGCGGGTTCCTGCGTCTTTATTGCACCATGAAACTTGAATCTGCTGCGTCCGCGATCTGCGGTATCCGTTCCCGTGAGATGCGAGTTCTGGGCGGGTTTCCGCGAGTCCTTCACACCGTGAAATGCGAATCTGCTGTGGCGGCCACTTGCGGTATCCTTTCCCAAGACACAGGAGTTTGTAGCGAATTCCCGCGTGTTTATCGCATTGTGAAACGCGAATTTGCCGTGTCCGCGATCTGCGGTATCAGTTCCCGTGTCACGTGGTTTGTAGCGAGTGCCCCGGCGCTTATCATTATTTTTTAATAAAGTTTTACTGTGGCATCCCCAAAGATAGCCCACCCCATGTTTTTCACCATTTATCTCTACGTTTTGGGTTGGCGTTCTTACGGGATTTTACAGTATTCTAATTTAGAGACATATTAAGGAAGATTCATTTTGAATGTTTTTTTAAATACATTTTTTTGTAAAGTAACAAAATAAAGGTGTTACTTTAGCAAAGTAACTGTAACAAGTGACTCTTTCAATTTTGTAACTTTAACTATATCGGGGTTACTTTTTTTGCGGAGTAACTGTAACGGTAACACTGTTACATTTTAGCAATAACGTGCCCATGACTGCCCACAACTGAGGGACAACGTCATTAAGAAAAGAAAAACTTTACAAATCTCTGTAACGTGAAATTAGAGTGCAGCTCTTGAGGAGGAGGAGGGGAGGGTACAGAGGGGGGGTATGCCCCTCCTCCTCGAGTACCCTCCCATCCCCCTCCTCCTCTATACCCCTAACCTCCTCCCAGTTTCCCCGCTCAATTTAGCTGAAAAATTTGTGCCACGTGACCCTAAAAACAATTCCATTCCCCGCTGTTAAGGTCACTGCTGTTCAATTGCTGTTGAGGTCACGTGATGTCAATTTTCCCGCTAAATCTAGCAGAGAAACTGAATTTGTTCATAGGTAATGTGATACCAAGTCATGTGACATCATTATCTCTGCTAAATTTAGCGGGGAAACTGAAGTGGTGTTCAGGTCGTGTAACCTCAATTTTCCCGCTAAAATTGAATTGCCGTTGAGGTCACGTGACGTCAATTTTCCCGCTAAATCTAGCCGAGAAACTGAATTTGTTCATAGGGGACGTGACACCAAGTCACGTGACGTCATTTTCCCCACTAAATTTAGCGGGAAAATTGAATTGGTGTTGAGGTCACGTGACATCAATTCTTCCTGCCAAATTTAGTGGAGTTACTCCGACGGTAATGCCGCCGCGGCAAAACACGAAAACAGGTGCCTAAGAGCTGTGCTCTAAAATTGCCTTCGCTTTGATAAATCTATTTTATGAACTGCCTGGGTTTAACTTGAGAGTCGTGTCAGTAAATTCTCCCTTCTACTTTTCTCTTGTGCGCCATTTTGCAGTGCACAGAAGAGAGCACACAACAATTCTGGCATACCCCCCCCCCCCCCCTCTTCCCCTCCCTCTTTCCTGCCAATGGGAGATCCTATCAGGGGCTTAGCCAGGAATTTATTTTTGGGGGGTGCTGAAGTGGCTGGGATGTCCATGACTTAGGGTGGGGAGGTAAGAGAGGGGGAGGGGGGTGGAGGGCTGAAGATCTGCAGCCCCTCCCCTGGCTATGCCACGTGTGACTTCTATTCTGACATCACTGTGACAGTGACCTTGAAATATAGGCAAACACAAGAGCACTGGCTCTTATTTTCAGCCAGCCAGCACGCGTGCACATGCAGACAGAATTGTTCAGAACAAAAATAGCATGTGCAAGATACTAGACATAAATTCATTTTTTTTACAGGGTGGGGGAGGGGTGCATTTTCTGACATATTACATGGCTTACCCAAACAGTTCTTAAATTTTTTTTTTTTTTTGTGTAATGACTTTTTTAAGAAACATTTTGATGCACAGCCATGTCCAGTTGACAGTAAGCCTGTGGAGAATGCGTACCAACACCAGGGCAGAGAATCTCGAGGCTGTCCTCATCCGGCAGAAGGAAGTTCTTGGTGAGGAGCTGCTCAATAACGAGGTCGCTGAAATCAGAAGAAATGAACGTAGATCAACATACCTACGCTGACAACAGCATTCCAAAATGGCAAGACTTCAGGCAGCCTAAGTTCAGCTTCATTAAAGATATAAAACAAACGAGGCACATTTAAGCCAAAAAGTATCCCGAGGCCTTCGACACCCGCGTGGCATGAAAGAAAACACCCGTACTAATTTTGTCAACCGCTTGCCCTATGCGGAAAGTCACTGCAAATGGCTTTGATCGTCAGAGAGCAGCTCAGGCACTTCGACAGCAACGGACAGCTGCTTATTCAGGTTCAAATCTAAGTACTCGTAGTATTGAGGATTAAACTTCACTAGTTCATAAACCTGGGCCCCAACAATAAATAAGGTAAACAGCCCCTTTCCTAAATTTCTACTTTTACTTCTCATCTCAAGTCTGGCATCGTCCTGACCACGGTCAATCTGCAAGCGGTAATGCATTCAATGAGTCACTCGTTCAGGGCGGAAATCTCCACCGTCCCAAAAAGGTAGTATTAAAGTCTGTTCACACGCCTGCAATTCGTTAGGAACGTGCGCCTTAAAACATCTTACAACAAGAGAACACGCTTGCGCCATCTATGCAGTGACCCTGGAACTGCATTTCACTAGAGCCAAGGTTTTGCGGTATTTCCGAGGTCTAATGTACATACTACCTATGAAAACTGGTCGTTTATAACACTGACAAAAAAATTTTCAAGCCAAAAAAAAAAAAAAAAACTTTATGCAAAAAAAAAAAAAAAAAGGAAACATACACGGGACTGTCAAGTGTTCCACAGCTATCCGATAAGTGAAGTCAGTGTGCTCTCTCGTCGTAAGAGATTTTAAGATGTTTCGAGGCACACGGTCCCAAGGAGCTGCAAGTGTGTGAATGGACCTTTAAGCTTTAGACACAGAAAAAATATAATTTGTCTTTGAGATACAAGAAAGTATACATTAGCACACCTTTCACCTAACAGTCACTATCGAGCACTGCACTAATTCGCCTCAGAGACTTTAATTTGGCTGGTTCGGTGGGCTCCACTTTCATTCCCAGCAGATGCTGTGGAAAGTTACCTTCTGGCAACGGTCACTGGCCAGTGACACTCAGGGTGTCGAACAAAACCTCTTTTCGGTTCGGTTCAGTTTACGGTTCACATACTTTTGGTTCGGACCAGGTTCAGCTCTGGAGCAGAAAAAATAATGGTTCGAACCAGTTTAAACCGGTTCCTAAAACAGTTAAAGTGACAAATTTAACTGAATATTCATAAACTTCAGCTGCCATGAAGCGGATTACTACGGTATAAAATAAGTGCTCATTTAGCAATTTTCTGTGCTACATCTGTCTATTGGAATGATCTTGAAAACTTCAAGACGTGATATGGGACTGGGTACTAAGCTTTTATTCACCAAACACAAAATTAAATATCTCTACTGCAAGAAGGAACGAGTGCCTCTCCAATTTTGTTATATGCTTACACCATATTAATTTTACTGATGTGTACACTCTGCCTTGGCTGCGTGAAACGACCAGAGAAAAAAGACATCATCTAGTATGTCCGGGCTCAATCGCTTTCGTTGGCATGAGAGGATGTATTTTGACCTCGAGAAGGACCTTTCCTCGCTGACTTGCATGATCGGTACTGCAAGGGCGACGAGTGCAAGTGAATACAATTCGGGGTGCCAGGACTTCTCCTTTTCCCGAAATTCCATGACAATGCTACCGTAGCTAATTCGGGGCACCCTTTCAAAGCCTACCAGAGGGGTCTCAGTCTCCCCAAAGATAGAAGAATGGTCGCTAAATGCTTTCAGTCAGCCGCTTCCTTTTTCCATCAGGAACGCTTCCAGATCGTCATCAGGGCAAGTGAAACTGCTCGGTGTGCATGGTGCTTGAGGTTGCTATGGCTGGGCATCTTCCTTAAGAGCGCAAAGCTTCCTCCATGCCAATAGCCAATGCTGCTTTGCTCTGGACCTCTTCTCGCTTGTTAGCGTGACATGGTATTGAGGATCCAAAAACATAGCCGCACAAAATATGTGGCTTCTGAGAAACACCTTCTCTCGCCTTTTTATGGCAGCGGCAAGCTGATTCGCAATGGGGGTGTCAATTTTTGACGTCTCAATTCGACATGTGAGCCATGCTCCATAGAAGTCCCCCAATGTTAGTTGCACCCTTTGAAGTTGCACTGATGCTTCCTCGGCCAGCCCCAGAGAGGCAACTACGTAGCTTTTTGATTGCAAGTCTTCTTGAGTAAGGCAGTGTTCATCATCGCCTGTGATAAACTCGTCGCAGAGCTCTCTCAGCTCCAACAATTGTTGCATGGATGGGCCTGTTGTTACAACTGAGTGCAGGTGAGCGCCGATTGCAGATGACCGAGTGGACCCAGGACCAGGAGTGCAGATGAGCGCCGTCACAACATTACTTGCGAGGTTGTTTCATTCTGACTGCCTGTCAATGGTGCGCCTTTTTCTTTTATACTTTTCTTACGGCGCGGTCTCGAAAGTTTGGCAACGAGGAGGAGGCGGAAGCCCCGTGCGAGCGCAACGTTTCTTCGGCAATGGTTTCCTTCTCGCCACAGTGGATACGAATCACGTGGAAGGCATGTCAACATTCTTGAAAGGCTTGGGGTTTTCCACACTAAAACATTCCCCGTCTTCCCTTGAGTCTCACTGCAGCTCCGCTGGGGTCAGAATGTTGCTCCGTGTGGCTCTTTTCTTGCTTTCGTTGACCGGCATCTTGCGCCCTCTCCCTTTCTTGCGAGGCTGCTACGTATTGGCCACGTGCACGTGGGGAATCGGGAGTCTCACAGAATTTTCCAGGTCTTTCCCGTCGGCAGGTGCACCGGGACGTGCGGTTTAGAGCAGTTCGGTTAGGTGAATGCCGTTTTACCAACCCCAGTTTATCGAATCACCTTATAGAGAGGCTCAGTTTAGATGAAAGGGCGATGAGCCTCCTTTTATTGAACTGGGCTGCCACAGAGCGGCCTCTACGGGTGGGCCAGTTAGGTTAACAGTGTTGTAATGAGCCGCCGCAAACTGTCGCCGTGAGGTGCCATAAACAGGGGGGTGGGGGGGGGGGGGTTAACACACACGAAGAAGGGATCCTTTTCTTTAAACAGTGCCCCTGTTTCGACAAACAGCATTTCTCTAAACTGAGGCACCACTTTCTCTAAACCAAGCTCCGATAAAACGAGCCTGTTCTCTAAAACGTGTTTCGATGAGATGGCGCTCAATCAACCGTAATAAACCCGAATTTGATGCTACATTGTTGTTTCCGTGGCGGCTCGATGCGTCATCCCGTTGGCACGTGGTGGCGGCTTTTTGCCTGGCGCATGGGCGCGATGACTTTGAGCGGCTGAGGCGGATTTTGTGACAGTCAGTGACAGCAATTATTGACCATAATTTTTGTAAAATATGCTTACAAACTTACCTGCATATTTGGAAACACCTTGCCTCGCAGCGCTAACTAAGCCTCTCAGAATTTCCGGCACACAGTGAACGGAATAGTAGCACAAATGCATGCCCATACCATTTGGCAAACCGGTTCGGAACGGTTCTTTTGTTTTGCTCTGGTTCAGGCTCAGCTCCAAAATGGCACCGAGCATTTGGTTTCGGGCTCTGTTCCGGTTCGGGCGAAAATAAGTGGTTCAATTCCGGTTCGGTTCCAGTTACGGTTTGACATCCTGGTGACACTAAACTTGCTAAGTTGTGAAAGCCGCCACCCGATCAGAAGGGTTGACCCACTATGCATCTGTCCATTCATCTGCCTCGTGTTACAGGCACATGGATGGGTGAATGGTTGGCAGAGGCTAAACCCTTTGTATAGGACAGTAGCTTGCGCCGCCTAGTCTAGAAACATCAACAACATTCGCACTTGGACGGGTCAGCTTACCAGTCTCGCTCCACTTCGGCCGCAATGTCTGCAAGTAACCCCCTGCACTTCTCCTTGATGGCGGCCATCTTATGCCTGCTGCACTTGCGCTGCAAGAAGATGTCCGGCACGTCGGTACATTCGTCGAGCACCTAAAGGATGCATTAGTAAAAGAGTATGCCTGCCCAGAAGCATGTGTTCAAGGTTGTACAAAGAACCTCGATGGTCCGCCTATGTGGCAGCATGATACATTTTTTAACGAGAAGCTTTCCTTCCATCATCCCCGAAATAAAAGTGGGCTAGTTCTCAATTTGATGACTATGGTGAATGCACCTGGAAGCGTGAAGTGGGCGTTTGGCAACTTTACAGGTGCAATGAGCTAAATTATTTTTATGCCCCTCCTCACTTGCACTGCACCCTTTCCCTCGGGAGAGTTCATCTGTTCTCCTTGTAACAGAATCGCAGTTGAAGGGAAGTGCACTCTTTCTATTCATTTTTCTGTTTACCGTCGGTACCGGAGCGGCTACACAAACCTCCTGTGAAATTTTCTCTGAACTTTCCATGTGAAATGCAAAACCAGCATGCGTTTCGTGTTGGGTTTGAAAAACATTTTTATAGACTGACTGGTGATTATGACGAATGAAAGGCACCAAGTCTAGCCTGCATGTCTGTCTTAGCCGGCAACCTGGTACTGGAACTGGAGTAAAAAAAAAAAAGAGCACAGAAAAGGTATAGCTGAAATGAGTGAGCAGAAGAAAATGATTGCAATGATTATAAGGATGACGCCACAAATCACTTCAATAGACATCGCAACAGCCCCATACTAGTATAGAACAATATGCGGGCTTCGGATGCCTTTTCAGATTGGTCCATCCTGATTCACGTGACAAGCACCTCAAAAATATTAAACGGCAGCGTATCAGTTTGAGGCAATATTACTCACATAGCTCATCGTTCTTTCCTTTGTTAACCCTTCTTCCTTTTTCCTGTTTCTCATACAGCCAGTCATTCTTTTGAACAACCCTTTTTAAGAAATGAGAACTGCCCAAAAAATCCATAGAATTTTTCAGAAGCAGCCTCACCCGTGGGTGTCCGCAGAATCTTTTTTGGCTTTTTCACAAAGGTCGGAGGGACCCTATTTTTTCAGATGAGCGCTCATCCAAAGCAGTAGCATATGCCACTGTCCGCCATTTCTTGTGGCACTTACTCGGCGGAATCAGCACACGGCGACAGTGGGAAGGCCGGGAATAGTCCGGCGTTTACTTGCAACAGGCCATAATTATGTTCCGCTTTCGTTTGTAACAACAACAAAGGTGTAATAATGTCGTTTAGAAGCCCATCAAAAATGCTTTTCAGTCTGCCGACAGACAGCGCAACATAATTGTGGGAAAAGCCCGTTGAGGAGCATGGGGCGGGTCGTAAGCCCCCCAACTCCAAGGCCTCACCCCAGAGGCGGCATCCCGGAACTCCTCCAGCAATCGACAGATACGGTCCTCTTCCGGCTCGAGGACGGTGGCAGACGGGGCAACGCCGCCCGGCAGTGGGGCAGAGGGGGGCCCCTGTCGGTCCAGGCGCTCCCGCTCCTTCTCCCAGTAGTGGACACGCAGCCAGAGCAGCAGCAGGTTGCATGCGGAGCGCAGCACCTCCAGCGATTGCGAGCTCGTCGCATGCGCCGACGTGTTGCGCAGGTCCACAATCCAATCGGGCACGCCCAGCTGCAAACGCCACACAACGCGGCGGGGTGAGGTGCCCCGCGCGTCGGAACAATGAACTTGGGAGTCGCAATCAGTAGGATATGAGATATCTGGACGTTGTTTCCCATCACTCTATTGATCCGGTGTGCAGTTCTTGGCCCCGGGCCAAATTCACCCACCAATTTCGCACATCCAGGCACATATTTATTAATGCAAAATTGTAGGCTCACTGAAAACTAAAGGGTGGTCACACACTCATGACTGCTTACGACCATGTGCATTACAACCTCTCTTGATATCTCATGAAGAGAACATACTGGCCCGCTTTGCCAGAGCGTATGTTTTGCGGTGTTTGCGAGATCGAACGTGTGTACCACCTATGAGAGATGGTTGTATATAACATTGTCGAAAGTTTTGCAAGTTCACAGTAAAGAAAAGATGCGCGAAAAAAGTAGAAAATATATGGAAATCGTGAGTGTTCTATGGCTACCCGACGGATGATGCCAGTGCGTTCTCTGGTAAGAGATCACTAGAGGTCGTAAGCGGTCCCAAGTGAACGCATGCCACGGTTGCCTCTAAGAACGTTGATGGCGACCACAGTCGGTCGGAGGGGGTTGGCGGGCTGCCAAACACCTGCACCACGAGCTCCGTCGGTCATGCAAAGCGAGTGTGAAAGAAAAAAGAAAACAACAAAGGAAAAAACAAAACAACAACAGAAAAGGCAAGGCAGAGGACTCCGAGACATTTCAAGAAGCCTTACAAAAGCTTTGAAAACGAGAAAAGAAAAAAAAAAAAAGTGCACAAAAGGGGGACGTGGCTACGCTAGACACGTCATGTGCCTGGAAGGCTAAGAGTGGAAATAGAGTCCGCTGCGCTCCTCATAAAACGCAATTCTGCATGTGACGGTTCAATCGACAGATCGAAATACAACCGAAAAATGTTTTTAGCAGTTTCCTGTCATACAAATTTCAGCTGAGTTTAAGACTGTGTTTGTGCTGGCTTTCTACTGCCTCAGTTCTCCAAAAGTTTGTTAATTTACACCACCTCGTTAGCACTCTTACTTTTTGTTCATCATCAAAGGTCTCTGTCAGAATAATTAGGAATAACATCTTTGCAAAAAAGCCCACGAGTCGGCTGACTAAACACAAGTGTGCATGTTTAACAAAACAAACGGTGCCTTGGCCTCTGCAGTCATGCTACTCACGAAACAGAAGGCACTGCGTGAGTCTATGTCAAAGGCTTTCCCAGAGAAAGCAACAGCAACAAAATGTCGCTTGAATAATATTTTTTTTTTGCTTTCAAACTTATGGCGATGGGTGACCGGGTGCCCTGCAGAGGGGTTACAACCCTTTTGCCTATTCCCCGTACCACTGCAAGAGCACATTTGGTGTGCAAATGATGTTTATAGTTACTATTAAAGGATTAATTGGTAGGCTTAGTACTTTAAAGTTTGGACCTTGATGCAGCAAGACTAAAAACATACCTACCTAGTACATTTATTAAAGTGCTATTCATCCTCAAAAATAAAACCATAAACAAAAACAAATACCTGCAGGCCAACACTCAAACTCAAGCTCCAAAGTTATTCAAATCATATGCCAAGAATGACAACCGAAAGAGAACCTGAACATAAACTGAGCCCACCTTGAAGCCTGCTTCTTTGGTGCTGATCTGCTCCTTCTCGCGTATGGGTTCTAGAATGTCGCCGACAAACCTGTGGCAAAAGGTAATGAGGGTCAGTAATGACTATGATTCTCCTGCCAACACTGTCACCGTTGGCTCAAATACAGCAGTGATGAAGTTCGCCAAATATTAAAATGTATTTTTTTGGAGTTAATGCAGGGTGGCGGAGAAAAGCTCACACGGAGAAAGGCTCACTGCAAAATTGGCAGATACGAAGAAAAGCTCACCGGCCTTTGAGCATATGCAAAAAAAAGCTCACTGACTTTTTTTTTATTTTTTATTTTTTTAGCTTAGTCATAGCCTCCTCTATACGGAGAAAGCCTGGCACATCGACGACGGAGCCATAGAGCGCGCGGCCGCAGGAAAAAGGAGAGGAGGAGCGCGCCGAACGGTGACCAATATGGTAGCGCAGAGCAGAAAGGGCAGACCTAGACAGCGAGCGCTTGGGTCATGAGCGGCCGCTCCCCGAACCACGCTTCTTTTTGTGTTTTCGTCACCTTCGTTTTCGTACTCCGGGAGAAACGGGCGCGGCGAATCGAAAGGGCGCAGGGAGAAACGGGAAAGGGTGGACGTTGAGTTTCTCCTCTCCACGATAGCGACAAGAAAAGAGAGAGAGAAAAAAAAAGATTGTTTCTGCGTTTGGCCGCTCGCTCTTTTGTGGCGCTAGCGAGCAAGGTTCTCTCCGCTCCCGTTTCTCCGCCCCTCCTTTCCCATTTACGGCGGCCGTCTTTTCACGCGACGCGCCAGGCTTTCTCCGTATAGAGGAGGCTATGGCTTAGTGGAGTCTGCGTCACAAGTGGTAATTTAACACAATTAGAATGCGACAAAATAATTGTCTTCTTTTTGTATAGTTACTAATTCCTCAGAAATTAGTAATCACCTATTTTGTATCACTGCAAGCATAAAATCAGAACATCGGACACCCGTAAAAAAGACAACAATTATTTACAGCTTGACAGTGCACCGTCAATGTCACCCAATTTGCTACCTCACAGAAGACTAGGCTTCATATAGGTCACGAGTAACAACGGTGACAGCATGCAGCTCTGAAGGTCATGGGTGGTTTGCCGTAGAAAAGCACTGCCACACAAAGGCAACGTGTGGAAACACCAGCACAAATGGCTAGGAAACATGCATGTCCGTGGAAGAAAGAAACCTCGATATCTTACTGTCCGTTCTATCCCGTTTTCAAAGGTTAACAAAAGCTTCAAATAGATTTTCGGGTAAGCGTTGTTATGCATGCATTTCGGATTTTCGGCATTTACAGTTTTGCTTTTTAGATCCTAGGCAGAAATTATTAATTTTTAAAACTTTTTTTTCTGTTCTTCACGTTCCTAAAGGTTTCAGTTAGGCTTTCGTTGCCTAGAGAGTAAACCACAGAAAACACCTGCCCGCAATTATTAATTTGGGAGCAATATACCCACAAAACCTAACAAATATGAAAAAAAAAATTTTTTTTACAAAATTGACGAATTTTAATGATAATAAATTTATTTATGTTACGCATGATCCAACAACCTCCATATGAAAAGAAGAAAAAAAAATCGATGAACTTTTCTCCGCATAGGCTCATTGGCCGGTAAGCTTTTCTCCACATCTGCCGGTTTTGCGGTCAGCTTTTCTCTGGTGAGCTTCTCTCCGGTGAGCTTTCCTCTGAGATTCGTCAATGCATGCCTCATTACCTAAATTACCTAAGCCAGTAATTCTCAAATGGGAGTCCACAGACCCTTTGGGATCCGCGCAGGCATTCTAGGGGTCTGCGAAGCCCTGCCTCATCAGTCAAGCCCGGCAATAAAAGTTGTCTTTTTTTCAGATTTTTCAGATTTCAGAATCCCACATTGGCAGTACAGTTGAACCTCAATTTAACGAAGTCACCGGGACCCACTAATTATTTCGTTAAATCAGGAACTTCGTAAAATCGAGGAAAGGAGACCTCGTGCATAGGCTGCTTGGGGAATCCGAATTTGTTCGCTACACCGGGAAATTCGTAAAATTGGGTTTCGTAAAATCAAGGTTTCCAGTTTCTATAATGTTGGGTGGTTTTCGAAACTTCCACCGCGCATACCCACTTACTTAACGAGTCACCGAGCACCGGTGGCAGTCTTCAGTGCCATCCACGATGCCAACCACGATGGCTATAAGAATTAACCATGTTGCACCTCCCTCCTCAGGTACATGACCATTCCACCCACACTGCGCGACCATGCTACAGCTATCGCTTTCGATTTCTTCGCACGTTCTGGGTCAAAAATACTACTTTTTTTCTTACATGTGGAAGCATGTATGAGCCAGCAATGAAAATAATATTTTATCTTGTGGTGTCACTTTTTGATAGCATGTAATGTTATTTGTTGAGGTAACTTCTGTTTCGGTATGCTCCTTCGTTGTTCAGAGTGGCCAAATCTATGTCATTCAACTTCGCGTTCCATGATGAACATCGAGATATAGAAATTACTAACGAAGTCTGTGTTGGAAGACTGTGGAAACAAGGAAGTTAGCAGCTTCGAAAAAACAAAGGCCAAGTAAGGGCGCTCAAAAGGGTCACCTTGGCGCGCAAGGTTAATGTGCCACTGCATGGTACCGTGTCCCGAAAAGTACAAGACAAGAATATGTCATAAATTGGAGTCATGCAGACATCAATTAACTTCTTGCCACAAAATAGTGTCTTGTATAAATAAATATTCTTCACAGAGCATGATACGGTCTTACTGAAACCAAAATTTGCATTTGGCATGTGGGAAAAAAAACCTGGCATTCAAAAGGTTGACCTGTAACAGATTATAGACTAAAGTTTGGCTTTCTACAGCATGCATGTACACTAATGCTTTGAACACACCTTAGGTAGTTTGCAAAAACTGGTTTCTCATTGTATTGCGCTGCGATTTACTGAAGAGGTGCGGCTAAGTAGTAGAAGTTTGGAGCAAAAATATGAACAAGTTACTGTAAAATACAAAAGGAGCGCCTACCTGGCTTGCATTGAAAACCAAATTAATGTAGACATGGGCGCTTGTCCCGGGTGCTTAATGCATAATTTGTAGAATTTCCAAGCTAGGGAAATGTTAATAGTGGGTGCTTGAATGAAATGGGTGCTTCAACGGAATCTTACGGTAACTTGCCTCATTCAAAATTGAAAAAACAAGAACCTGTTTCGGGCAACCTATGGTGCAATCACAGATGGTGCGTGCCATCTACGAAATGCTGCTAAAAAAATGTCAGAAGCGTCAAGGTTGCGTTGAGTGTGCCGGCACCAAACTCAGCAGACAATCTTCAAAAAGTTTTAACTATGCCTTGTTCAGCATGGTATGCTCTCTTTAAGATATGATTTTCAAACTGTTATAATCTTGTAATAAATAAACCAAATACAAATACATGTATTTAAATCCCCCCAGAACCCACGTTTTTTTTTTGTTTTTTTTTCAGAAATGATTGGTTGAGGCACCAATTTCTCTCGTGTCTGACGTAGTGCCATTTGTTGACAGCACGTACAAGTCGGCAAGCGCCGTTATGGCACCGTCTACAAAAAGCCACCGTAGATTGCCCAAAATGGTTTCTTTTTTTTTTTTCTTTAAACGAAGCAAGTTCATTTGCCAATATTTTCTGTCAAAACTTCCACCAACTAGCTGCACCTCAGTAGTGAATTGCAGCACGATACATTGAGAAACCAATTTGTGGACCGTCTAAGGTGGGTCGGTGCATGCACAACACCACCATTGACGGGATAATAAAAAAAAATGTTGAGTAACAATATCCTTACGACACATCAGGGCTCCTAGTGCTAAAGGACACACCTGACCACAGCAGAGGAGTAGAGGCGGACGAGGTCTTCGATGGAGGCGTCCGCACGTCCTGAACTGTGAGCCTGGGCATCGTTCAGCTGTGCTCCAACAAGGGCTGCAGAAGCCTCTATGGCACGAGGCACACGGGCGTACAACCTAGCATGGACGAAACAAAACGAATTATTCCAGTTCTGCTGTGTGACAACTTAAAGTTGAAGTGGAAACAAGAATGAGGCTATGTCAAAAAAAGTGAAAGCCGTTTACAAATCCCTGTAACGCCGAATTGGAGCGCAGCTCTTGAGGAGGAGGAGTGAAGGGTACTGAGGGGAGGGTAGAGCCCTCCCCCTTCTCCTCCTCCTCCCCTCATTCTTTAATATGCTCCGGGGGGGGGGGGGGTGTCACGTGACTTCGGGGAGGGGGTCACGTGACCTCGGGGAGGCGTGACCTGGGGGTGACCTCAAGGCCACGTGACCCCAAAGGTGACCCCCACGTGACCTTGGGGTCACGTGACCTCGGGGGGTCACGTGACCTCGAGGGGTCACGTGACCTCAGAGGGGTCACGTGACCTGGGGGTCACGTGGGGTCACGTGACCTTGAGATGACCTTGGAAGGGGTCACGTGACCTTGGGGGTCATGTGACCTCGGGGGTCACGTGACCTTGGGGAGGCGACCACGTGACCTCGGGGGTCACGTGACCTCAGAGGGGTCACGTGACTTGGGGGTCACGTGACCTTCAAAGGGTCACGTGGGGTCATCTTGGGGTCACGTGACCTTGAGATGACCTTGGAAGGGGTCACGTGACCTCGAGGGGTCATGTGACCTTCAGGGGGTCACGTGGGGTCACGTGACCTTGAGATGACCTTGGGAGGGGTCACGTGACCTTGGGGGTCACGTGACCTTGGGATGACCTTGGTTACGCCGACGGCGACGGCGACGCCGCTCAAGCCGGGAACGGGCCCCTAAGAGCTGCGCTCTAAAACTGCGTTGACACATAAGAATGCACATGGCTCAAGGGCAAGCAAGCTAGTGGCAACCAAACATTTCAACTATTTTTTGAGCTACCCCAACAAACTATATTTTACGAATCACCGGCCTTTACCCTTTCTGGCATGCCATTCAGTATCGTGAAATTCAGAATGGTTATTGCGAAATCGACAAATGAAGGTGACGCCGAAACCAATGTTCAAATCTACCCGCGCTTTTCAGTGCCGTGATGTCATAGGCAGACAGGCTTGCCGGTCAAGCAAAAAGTCTAGAAAACAGAGTATGACACATATTTCTCTCATGTTTCTGCGTGGGCGCTGGAGCAGCGTATCCCCCAAGCATTTATTCCACATCATCAAACTTTTTGTAATCAGTTGGGAACAAGCTAGACTGCCCAAAGAGTGAACTTCCCATGGAGAATAGAAGGGTAGGAGAGGGCATGACGTCGGCCGCGTAGCCTCCACAAGCCATGCTCCCTTGACGCCTCGCCTCTTTCTCATTTTCCTCCTTACTCTCCTCACTTACCATGCCAGCGTGACCACATCACGTGACCGTAGCTAGCCTTCGTCTTGCTGTGGGGTACTAGAATACACCACAGTCTAGACTGCGACCTGATAAAACCTACCGGACGGAGCGCGCGCAAGCCTGCAAGGAGTACTTCTACAATCAACCATCCATCTCACACGTGATATGTCACGCGCACCAATCGCCAGAGAGATCTGAGGTCACGCTGGGCACAAAATCGTTTAAACTTTTTATGACTAAGCTTCACCAATATTGCAACGTGCCCCCTCCTAGTACTTCTAACCTCCTTCGAACTTCCACCCACTGCTGGCATCACTTTTTCATTGTTGCCAGTAGACTTTGTTTGAGAAAGATGGCGAGGATAACAGCTGTAAATTCAATAACTTCACAAACAAAATATTTTAGACCAATATTTGGGTTACTCGTTCAGCTGGGTGTGTTGGTGTATTTGATCAATTTTGACGCAAATCGGGGATCATGAATAAAATGTTGGAGGCAAACTTGTTGCCTGGTTAATTACCAGAAGAATTAGTAGGACCCGTAAATCCTTCTTTACAGTATCAGTCAGTACATCTTGCAAATTCTTGACCCTCCCCCTCTTAAAATTTTGGTCAAGTGACGATGGATTACAAACACATAGCCAAGTCCACAAACTAGCTAAGTGACAGCTATATGTAGACAAAACGTCAGAGCATCCTTCCACAATAACAGTGATCATGCAGAAAAGGAGGTGGAGGTCCAAAATGTTGAGGTCAAGACTGTGACAAAAACCAACAACAACAACAAAGGGTTGTTGTTATTTTTATTCCAGTCTCTACATAGTTCTTGCTGGTTTTGCCTCCTCGTGCAAAAATATAGTCTTGCCTCGTTAATATGAATACCCCACTATAGAAACAATACTTCTGGGTACATAATAGTTAAATACATATTTTTGCCTCGTTATAATGAACAACTCACACTATGGGTGATTCTTGGGAGGAGCCGAACTTAAAGATCTGTGCGAACAAGGGCAAGCCTGAAAACCCAAACTTAACCCAACTGTTGGGCCAGGCTTGAGCCAATATATAAGCACCCCGTTTGGGCTTGGGTAGGGTTTGGGCGTATTGATTTCAAGCTGTGGCGGGCTTGGGTGGGGCCGGGATTGAGGCCTTGGGGCAAGACAACCTGACATTGCTAAATCTAAGAATTCAATATTAGGAACTGCGGTATACTACCTCAAAACGTTTTTGAACATGCAAAAAGAAGCGAAAAGAGGATGCCAGTTATAATGCAGAAAATGTCAACGCAGGTTGATGACGCCGGCACGTAAATGCCACAATAACTAAACTTCTGTAGCAAGTTTCATCCTCTGCAATCAATTTTGCTTGGTAGGTGACTACTTGTCGTGAGCTCGTTTTTGTTTCCTATTCAGCATAATTTGTGTTCTAGACTTTATTCGCAGGAATAACCGAATGATGCCAACTACACCCTTCTTTATTTACAAATATTCCCTTCCATAAAAATGCACTAATGTGTAAAATAAATTGCTGTTGTTTCATTTACTTGAATAAGTGGTGAAGTTTCGTAAATCAAGCCTATCTTCTGATATCCACGCGATCACTATAGACACGGCGCAGATAAAATATGGCTTTGTTTACATTTTTGTTAAAACAGGGTTTGATTCCAAGCAAAAGTTAATTCGGTTTGCTGTAAATTGTGGTTTGCAAACAGGAGGTAGAACTTAATTTAAAATATGCAGATGAATGAACAGTACTGATTCAATAAAATAATTGTTACAATTCCGTCCAAAGTCAAAATCTTTTTGGAGCCGCCGGGATTCAAACTCCGGGTCTCCTAATTAGCAATCAGGTATGCTAACCACTGCACCAAACACGAAAAAAAAGGTAATCGCATGTGCCCAAGCGATTTCTTTTTTTTTTTCTTGTGAATCTCAGAGTGACGGTCACTTCCACTCCCAAGGATGACATACATCCTTTTCAGAAGATGCTAGGAGCCAGCCAGCCATAAAACATACTCTTTGTTAAAAAGGTGCGTTTGGGTCGGGCTCATGTTACAAACAACAGTCGGGCTAGGGTCAGGTTCGGACTCAATACTTATCCGTTGGATTGGGTTCAAGCTGACGTCCACGAACCATAGTCGGAATCGGGCCAGGACTCAACTGGGCCAGGTCGGGTCGGGGCTTAAAATTCCGGTCTGATCTGGACTCTAGCAAAGGTGTTCATATAAGCGAAACATTGCCTTTCTCACACGCCTGTCGATGCCTTTTGCATAACCATATATGGAATAACAAAAAGTGGCATTCAAGACTGCAAAAACTTATTTATATAAAAAGAAAAGAAGTTATATGTAGCACTTCCATATTTAGACTTAATAAATATCGATGTTGCAAAAGCAATGAATTTTCTAAAGACCATAGCATCCCTCCACTTCTCGAGTCGTTTGTGCGTCCGACTGCCATTGGAAAGCTCCAGCAGCGATACTCGGTTTGTGGGCTCACCTTTCTTGAGGTTTAGAAAAGCAGACACACGGGGGTGCTCTGTCAATCATCTGGTTTCTATTCCAGAACTTAATTTTTTTTCTATGCAGCATGGTCTAGGTAGAACGTATCTTCGTCCCTCTGCGTCTGAACCATCTAGTGCAGGCGAGTGTGGCTTTTAACACCATCAGAGCCCGACCTGTAGACTTCTGCAACTGACCACTTTTACTTCATCCCCAACCTTTTTTGTCAACCAAGTTGTCCTGCTTTTATTGTTCCCTTCACTTCACACATCAACTGTAGACCCGAGAGAGATAGGGACGAAAGCAGAGAACAACGTCGGTCAAAGACAGAGCAAGAGTTGAGACGGCCGAAGAGTTGTCACCTGCTTCTCCATATAGCGATATTACGCAGGGCAGCAGCTTGGTCCAGAATGGCTCTGCTGAAGAGGTTTTGGTAGACTCTCTCCCATTCATGCCTGCAAACGAAAGATGTTTTGGGAGCGCTGCGTAGCCATGTGCGCGATACACCGGTCGAACAACAACGGGTACTGATGCGGTACCTGCTATAATATGGAACGATTCGGAACTCTGTAGTCGCCATGTGTGCTCGGTGTCAGATGAATGCGAATAAGCGTAATTGGTTATTCACACAAATGTTGCCGTAAATACACTTCCAACCACAGGCCACAGTTCGTCAACAAACATCAATCGATGGGCCGCGCCATTGCTGCGCACGCGCAGTTCTCCTGGTTCTCCACGCACCGCGTCAGCGTCGTATGCATTTTAAATGTCGTCAGCTTGGGCAGATGGAGCCACTGCGGCGCACGACATTAAAAACATATTTAAAACCGAAAAAAAAAAAAAACCCGCAAAGCAGTTTGTTTGTTGCGAAGCAGAGTTCGTAACCGATCGATGCTAATTCGTAGCATCGCGCATCGCTCGATTCTCCGATGCGACTGCAGCCTGTCGATTTGAGCGGCCGACGTCGTCCGTTTGTCCCGTTTGTCCGGACTCGGTCCGAAACAGATCGACTTGGTTCATTAAAAGCGGATGCATTCCAATTCAAAGCGACGCTTACCCAACGTAATGGTGTCTTTTTTTTTTTTTTTTTTTTGCTTTTATTTATTAGCAGCAACGTGCAAGCAGCAGGGCACAAGCGGGGCCCGAGCGAACGCGCCCGTCCCGTGCGTCCAGGGTGTGCGTGACTGCCGGCGTGCAGCGGCGCTAAAACATCCGAGGCAGAGCCAAGCAACCGGGGCGACCTTTCTCGCAGCCGCAAGAAATCAGGCAAATGCGAGCGTTTCTGGGCGCCAGGCGCGCGAGGCAGGGGAGCGGAGCCACAGGCACCCATCCATTTCAGACTCGAGAACTCGAGAAGTTCCAAACAAGTCACGTGGGGTCCGGAGGAATGCAAACTATGCGGGGGGGCGGAGCGTGCGTCAATCACGCCTGTCACGTGATCGCACTGGAATGTCAACAATGTGGAAGGTGGGAGGAGCCTGTACGCCACTCAAATTCGGCTTGTCCATGCATTGCCGTCGGAACGTCTCGTAAGCGGTCGACGATGGTGTCGCGGTGTTTTCGGCGACGTGCGCGGGTGTCGTCGTGTGCCTGACGACGAGGTGTGCTGGTGAGATCGGCCCGCAGGATACCGCGGCGGCAGCGTTCTTGGCCCCTTCCGTCGACGACGTGGAATAGATGCTCTGCTGCGTCCTCAGGAGACCATGTTTTCGAGTGCAGTGCTCGGCAGCGTGGTGACAAGTGCACGGTGCGTCCACCCCCGGCACCCTGGATTACGCTTATCTCGATAACCACGTAGGTATGTGCACCGCGAGCTCGGCCGCCCGTGCCGACGCGGCCCAAGTGCCTCGGCTTCGGCAGTTGGAAGTTAAGCAACATGGCGACTGCCGAGCTAGCAAATTGGGGTTAACTTTGAGCTCTGTCGTCGCATCGCGGCCTCGTTCGACAGACCGCAACGTGCGCCGGAACCCCGTGCACGTCTCCGGGGCTCGAGTCCCGAGCACGGCAGTCGCGGCGAGCTGCCGCGAGCAGTTGTTGCGAGCTCCGCGCGCACGGGGCCGCCTGTGGACGCACATGATCGCCGCTAAAGCTGTTGCGGAGTATCACCGTATCACGTTACCAGAAAGCAACACGTTGGCTTCGCGCTCGCTCACAACGTGCACGGATGCTGACGTGACGCTTTCGGCGTACCGCGGAACGCTGTCAGTGTCGGTATTACGAGGGCCATTGCCGAGAGCAACGGTGCGCTGCGAGTGGTGATGAGGGGGGGGGCTTCGCTTTTGTCGATTCAATCGCTAAGCCTAATCGGGTCTCGGTTTCGGTCGAAAAGCACGCCAAATGGAAATGATAGTGCCGAGACGGGTTCTTGCCTAGTACATCGTTGATGGACATTACGCGACTCAAACTGCAGTGTTCCGCCGTGTTTTCCGACGTCGCCAGTGCCGCGGAAAATCGACCAGACGAAATTTATATTTTGAGTTGTCTGCAGAAAGTCCCCCGCCACAAGCCGCTGCGGTTGCATCGCAGCAGCTGACAAGCGGGTGGGCCGTGTGGTTCAAAAACCGCTTGTCGCGCCGTGGGACGTTGGAATGCAACGCTGACGGCGCCGGGAAGTCTGTCGCGCCATGGTCGACGGGGAAACACGCACGCGTTGCGGACACCGGCAGCAACGCGCGGCAGCAGGAAGCGTGTCAATGCGTTTTGCCCCGTCGGCTGCGAGCGGGGTGCCCGAGTCTCGCGCGGCGGCGTTAAATCCCTTGAGCCGCGCTGCGTGAAGGTGGTCGCCAGTGCCGCTAACCTCGGTCACTGTTTCTCTGCGAACGAACAAGCGGTCGCAGTGTTGGCAGTGTCCCCAAAACGAAACTCGCGTTGCCCTTCGCTCCGTCTGAATAACCTCTCCGTCATGTCCAACCACGTTTGAGGTGCCTCACTCGCCTAAACGATCGCTAAATTCTGCTCTGTTTGCGTCGCGTTTTCTTCGCTACCGTTTGCTCGACAACTCTCCTTTCTGCAGCGGCAGAGTTGGCAGTGCGGCTGAGGCTTCGTACTCGAGGGGCTCATCCGTCGGTCTTTGCTGCACCGTCGGCGGACCACGCTTGGAAGAGCGCACTGATGCGGCAGCGAACGAAAATTCATAAATATTCCCGGCTTCCAGCACGCGCTCGTTGCTATCCGTCGTGCTTTGGCCCTTTGACTGCGCGTGCACGATCGAGGCGCCGAAGCGTTGTCAAGGGCCTTCCTGTCCCCTCATCCTGTCAGTTCCGGACGGGCTTCCACTGCTTCCACTGCATTCCAGCGAGTGCTGCTGCAAGGAAAGCACCTTCGCGTTCTGTCTCGCATGAGTTCGGAGACTTTCTTGTGAGTCGCGTTCTGCGAACGCTTGCAAGTTTCCGTTTTCTAAAGGAGCTTCTCCGTTCCGTAACAATCGAGGGAATGCCTCGGAGCAGCGAATCGGAGTGAAACGCAACCACTAACGACGTGGGACTCGAGATGTGGAAATCCGGTCGGACAGCTGTTCTTTTCGGTCCTATCTGGGACGGCCATTTGTCCGGGAAGCGCGCGCGCCCGTGGCTAATAACGCTACAACGGTCTCGGCGAGTGGGCAGCGCGCGTTCATTGCTGTCATTTGGCGGCGGCGAAGTGCGTTGACGCCGAGTGATAATCACTTTGTAATGCGTTTGAAAAGAGCGGCTCTCCCCGGCATTAGGCGTCGCTTTCCGAAAGAACCGCGTTTCCCCCGTCCGCTCCGGATGCCTCGCTCCTGCCGAGAAGGCCCTCCATTCGTGTGCGCACCGAAGCTTACCCAGAGGTGGCTGCGTCGTGAGCGGTGACGAGGGCCCAAGCTGGCTCTACGTTTGTTTCACTCATGTTCGAAAACAGGGGAGAGGCGGCATTTTGTATGGGGGAACACGCTCCAGTAAGCCACTGGTGTGAGATGACAACCGCTTGTCAGCTGCTGCGACATACCACTTGGACATACCACTTGCCGCGTTCGGTTTACCCGCACGCGGTGCACACTGTCACATTCACTTGACGAGTGCAACCTATCTCGGAACACAACCGGAAGTACACTGCCCTGCTCTTCTGCAGCAGGCTGGTGCAGGTAAATCGAGTGAGCCTAGTGTGTTCGATTTACTAGTGCAAGTTATCGTAAAACACATACAGATAGTACACTGCCCTGCACCGGTGCGGGCTGTTGGTAACTGAAACGAGCCCACTAATGCACAATTGACCCCGTAAGTGATGACGTCACAACTTGGCGTCTGGGTCCAATCAAACCGTTGCTATGGGCTAATGCGTGAGACTCCACACGAGGCTAGATTTTAGCTTATAAGTAAGTAAGTAATTTTTCGTAAGCAACCTAACTTCTTGATATCTAATTATGAAGATGTTCTTGTCATCTCAGCGTCGTATTGCAACGATGAAAGCCATTTCTGATGTGTTCCACCACTGTGTTCCACTCCGCTTTGCTTTGGTAGCAGACGACACAATAGATTTGCTGGCCTCTGTTGCAGCGGGCGTCTTCATTGAATTGTGTCGGTAAACGAGCAACACAAGCAAGTGAATCGCCATGGCCGCAGAGGCCTCCGCAATCTGCGTTTTTTTTCTGTGAAGAACCCAGTTTAGTTCAGAGGGGCGAAAATTCCGTAAAATCAAACCACGTCATGCAGATCAGTTACGACGACGAACTGAAGTGCATTACCGGGGTAACGCCGGCCAGCATGAGAAACAAATCGTACGCCGTCGAGATAAGTCGTTTGTTATTATTATTATTATTGAGGTTGTCAGGTTATTAAAATATTGCATGTCTATCGCAATTTCGCAATTTTTTTTGTATACATTAAATTTAATGGATGTGCTCTTTCGGTGAAGATCTCCATCGAACCCGCGATGTGAGTACAATCTGTAATAAACTCACCTTGTTTTTTATCCAGTTCTTTCGAGTTTTGGGGTTTTGCGGAAATCTGAAGAAAACTGCAAGAATCTTTCTCCACGCGATGGTTACAATCAGATACGAAGCACCCTCCCATAGCGCGAGTCCGCAAACAAAATTTGGGATCTTTACCGATCGCCTGAAGTGCTTTTCTCACGGGTGCATTGCAATCTTTTAGCTGACAATCATCTCGATCGACGCCCGGACTTTCGATAAACCATATTTTGCATCGCACCCCACTATGAATTCTTATAAGTGTCTGCAAAAAACAAAACAAATGCAATATCAGAATATTGTTTTTATTCACCCGATTCAGACGCCGGCGCCGGCTTGGCCGGCGGGCGTATGGCAGACGGCATTCTTCTTGCATTCGTCGTCTGCTGCAGGTATCTTGAGGACCGGAAGTTGCAATCGTAAATATTTCAGAAACAAGCGATTACCGGCACACTTCTGTCGCAACATATATGACATTGAAGCTTTCTATATCTGTGATTTTTAGAAGTTTAAATCCTACTCCCGATTTTTTAACAGTCGGGTTTTCATAGGGAAACCTAGCCACATGTATTTGTCCATAACAACGACCCTAGCAACGGATTGTTTGGACCCATGACGTCACACTTACGGAGTCAATTAGGAAGCCTTTAGTGACTGAGTTTTGAGCAGTTGCTTTTTTGTGCTTTATTAAAAATATGTCACTTTAGCAAAGGATTGATTGGGTAGTCTTCCAACACCAAAAAAGATCTAACAAAAACTAAAAAACGTTTTTTTTTTTGGGGGGGGGGGGGGGGGGGGGGGGGGGATGTCAGTGCTTTTTTCGAGCTCCTCTCTATTTGTTTTCAATATCTTTTGTCACTGTATCCATTTAGACATTGTTATGGTGGGAAAGCTGGAGCATGTGTCGGTCGTGGTTTCGAAGCAATTTATGTTGAGGCTCTGTCTCGTAAGCGTTTTTTGGGCGCATTCAAATTATTGAATGCCTGAAGTCAGTTGAGGGCCAGCTTGTATTTACTAAAGCCCTCCTTGCATAATCCTATCCCGTTTTAGCTGGGGTGAAAAAAAAAATAACTGATGCAACATACTTTTTTTTTGTTTGTAAAAAAAGCAATAAGAATGACATACTGGAGAAGTGCATGTTGGGTTGACTCTTTACACTGGTTGAACAAAAAGAAAGTGAGCTGGTGGTGTTTGGAGAAATTATTATTGCTACTCCTGCACTTCATGCTATGTCCAGAAAAGTCAGATGGTAGATAGACACATAACCCCTCACATACTGTACTCATATCTGTAGCATTTACAGATAGTAGATTCTTGCAACTGCAATAGGTGTAAATCAAAGGCAGATGAGCCAAATCATCTTCATCAGGGTAAAACATCTTGTTCTCTATAAACTTACAGATTTAGATCACTTGCCTACTGTTATTGCTTCAATAGAGGAACAAACTTCTAACATCCTTACACAAGCCTGACAGGCTCTGGTTATGTTGTTAGCTGCACCCAGCCGTTTTACGAGCTCACCACATAAAAGTGCCGCCGTGCTCGTGGGTGATGCAGTGGTGTCCGAAATTTCTTTCCGAGCTTCGCTCTCTCAAAGGTTCCGTTTTGCATAGGTTAGCACTCTCCGTGGCTGCTATGTAAAGGAAACTTGAGAAACGAAGCGTGCTCGCTATATTCCGCTGCAGCAGACTATTAAAGGATACACGGGCAGGCAGCACGTGTGGACGGGGCTTGCCTATCACATTTCAAGTGTGCGTGTCGAGATAAATTCTTTCAAGCGGACGTGATGCCGATCTTACGTTGGCTTCAAGTTTTATTGCCTTCCTGCTGCTAAAGTCGGCAGTGGCACGCGTGGCTTTGCGTCTTCCTCG